GCCAGCAACATGCACTGAGCCTGGCGGGTTCGAGCTGTGCCCAGGCCAGCTAAACAACAATGAAAACTGGAACAACAACAGCAACAACAAAATAGCTGGGCATTGTGGTGGGCGCCTGTAGTCCCAGCGTCTTGGGAGGCTGATGCAAGAGAATCCTTTAAGCCCAAGAGTTTGAGGTTGCTGTGAGCTGTGATGCCACAGCACCACTGACAGCGACATAGTGAGACTCTGTCTCAAAAAAAAAAAAAAGTTTGAAGGGCCATCTTGCAGAAGAAGTGGCCTTTCTTTCTTTCCTTTTTTTTTTTTTTTGCAATTTTTGGCCAGGGCTGTGCACTACCTCCCGTATATGGGGCTGGCACCCTACTTCTTTGAGCCACAAACTGCCCAAGGTGGCCTTTCTTGTGACCTTGGCCTCCTTAGTGGTTGACAAACTGGCCCCAGACCAGTATGTAAAGAACATGTAAATCCTCAAGTAACTTGTTGGAGCTGGCTGGCCATGCTGTCCTTAACTCAGATTGTTTGGCTATGGCTCCACCTTATCCCTCCCACCACTGCCCATCCTACTGTACCTTCTATATCCAGCTGCCTCTCTGTGCTTTCCCTGATGCTGTATGGTTTTGTGGCATTTGTCTTTTTTCACTCTTCTCTTGAGTTCTTCTGCTTGCCTTCCCGTGCCCTATAAATCCTGGGGCAGGGGTGGGGTTAGTGCCATCCCTGTGCCTAGTGTCTCGGTCTCTTCTCTTGCCCTGCTGAGTTGCAGGTTTCTTCTGTTGATTGACAAGAACGTGTGCTAACTGAGAGGAGATAGGACTGGGGTCTAAAGCAGGACCAGCCCTAAATCTGGCAGCTGTAGAAAGGAATGAGCTCCCTAGCCCACTCTCTTCCCACCACAGCACTGATTGGAAAAGGAGCTAAGAGTGATAGCTGCAATGTTTCCTGAATTAGGGGGGCCAAGTCACAGATCCCCATAGGGTGTAGCCAATCTTGGTGGACAGCCTCAGGATTAAATTGAAAATGGGCAAGTGATTTGAGAAGGTTGCAGGTGCTATGTACCTCAAAGATTATTCTGTTTATAAACATATCTCTTCTATTATCTCCTGCTCTGTGGGAAACATAGACAGTACTCTGAAAATTCTGGTTGAAAAGAGAATTGACACAAATGGGCTATTCTCTTGTAGGAGGAAGAAATGGCAGTGAGGTTGGACTATAGGTTAGCAGTAGCAGCTTGCTTGTGAATTTGGGTTCTTCTGACCTATAATTAACAAGATAAATGGTAATTTTCTTTTTCTTTTTCTTTCTTTCTTTTTTTTTTAGAGACAGAGTCTTACTTTGTTGCCCTCAGTAGAGTGTGGTAGCATCACAGCTCACAGCAACCTCCAGCTCTTGGGCTTAGGCGATTCTCTTGCCTAAGCCTCCCGAGTAGCTGGAACTACAGGAGCCTGGCACAACACCCAGCTATTTTTTTGTTGTTGCAGTTTGGCCAGGACCAGGTTCGAACCCTCCACCCTTGATATATGGTGCCAGCGCCCTAGCCACTGAGCCATAGGTGCTGCCCCCACTTCTTGGATTTTAATTGGAATTACAGTGGATCTATAGATCAGAGTAAAGAACACTGATAATTTACCAGTTTTCTATTTTTAGTAGAGATGGGAGTCTTGCTTTTTCTCAGACTGGTCTTGAACTCATAACTCAAGCAGTCCACCCACTTCAGCCTCCCAGAGTGCTAGGATTATAGATGTGAGTCACCATGTCCAGCCTAAGAAGGCTTTTTTTTTTTTAAATGAAAAACTAATTCTCAAATTCTTATGGAAGTGCAGAGGAATTAGAATTTTATTTGCATAAAATTTTGAAAAAGAAGATCCAAGGTGGAGGATTCCTAGTACCTGGTTTCAAAACTTACCAGGAAGTCATAGTAATCAAGATAGTATAAAGATAAGACATGTGCAAGGACAGACACATAGATTAATGGGGTTTAATATTATCCCGGAAATAGATTCACATATTTATCATCAATCAATTTTTTAAAAAAGGTACAAAGGCAATTCAGTGGCAAAGGTAGTCGTTTTAACAAAGGCTGCTGGAAAAAATACTTACATGCAAAATTAGAAACTTTCATCCATTTCTTGTGACATATATATATAAATAGTTCAAAAATAAATCATAGATCTAACTGTAAAATTTATACTTCTGGAAGAAAATATTTTTGAGCTTGGATTAGGCAAAGAGTTCTTAGATATGACACCAAAAGCATAATTCATAAAAGATCAAATTGATAAATGGGGCTTGACATAAATGGAGTATTGTCTTCTTTGAAAAGCCCTTGAATGAAAAGCCAATGTATGGTAGAACTGTTATTTATCAATAAAACAGTTATTTTACCAATAAAACAGTTATCAATAAAACAGTTTATTTATAACAGTTTACTTATAAACTGTTATCAATAAAACAGTTTATTTTTTTGAGGCAGTTTCACTCTGTTGCCCAGGCTAGAGTGCTGTAGTATCATCATGGCTCACAGAAACCTCAAACTCTTAGATTCAAGCAATCCTCTTGCCTCAGCCTCCTGAGTAGCTGGAACTACAGATGTGTGACATCATGCCTGGTTAATTTTTCTAATTTTTTTAAATTAAATCATAGCTGTGTATATTAATGTAATCACAGGGTACAGTGTGGTATTTTCATATGCAATTTGAAATACTCTCATCAAACTGGTTAACGTAGCCTTCGTGTCATTTTCTTAGTTATTAAGACATTCATATTCTGCTTTTAGAAAGATTCACTTGTACCCTTGTAAGATAAACCATAGAGGTGACCCCACCAATCACCCTCTACCCACCCACCCCCTCTCCCCTCTCGTCTCCCCCCCTCCTCCCCATATTCTAAGGCTATAATTAGGTTACGTCTTTCCTATGAAAGCCATAAATTAGTTTCAAATTAGGGCTGTGTACATTGGATACTTTTTCTTCCATTCTTGAGATACTTTACTAAGAAGAACATTTTCCAGCTCCAATTTTTCTATTTTTAATACAGACGGGTCTGATTTTTATTTAGGCTGGTCTTGAACTGCTAAACTCAATCAGTCTTCCCACCTTGGACTTCCAGGGTGCTAGGGTTAACAGGTGTGAGCCGCTGCACCCCTCCCTATCAATAAAAAATTTAAAATAACTAAATGAAAAGATAAATCACAGATGAGGAGAAAATATTTGCAAATTATATACCTGATAAAGGACTTAAATTGAAACTATGATGAGATACTGCTACACATTTCTTAGAATGACTGAAGTTAAAAAGACTGACCACATGTAAGTATTCATGAAGATGAGGAAAGACTGGAATTCTCATGCACCCCGGTGGGGATATAAAATGATACAATCATCTAGAAAGAAAACAACAACAGACACCTACCATATGATCCAGCCATTTCACTCCTAGGGATTTACCCAAGAGAAATGAAACCATATGTCCATAAATGGACTTGTATACAAATGTTCATAACAGCTTTATTTGTAAGAGCCCAAACTTGGAAACAACCCAAATGTTCAACAAGTGAAATGAATAACAAAAGGTGGTCTGTTTATACAATGGAATACTGTAGAGTAATAAAAAGGAATGAAGTATTGATGCATGCTATGACATGAATAAATCTCAAAATAATTATGCTGAGGGAAACAAGTGTGTAGAAAAGAACACATGTAAGCTGGGTGTGGTGACACCTGCTTGTTGTCCCAGCCTGGGAGGCTGAGATGGGAGGATGACTTCAGCCAAGGAGTTCAAGGCCCTAGGCAACATAGTGAGATCCTGTCTCTTTTTTTTTTTTTTTTTTTGAGACAGAGTCTCAAGCTGTTACCCTGAGTAGAGTGCTCTGGCGTCATAGCTCACAGCAACCTCCAGCTCTTGGGTTCAAGTGATCCTCTTGCCTCAGTTTTTCTATTTTTAGAAAATCACTATTGCTCAGGCTAGTCTCAAACTCATGAGCTCAAGCAATCCACCTGCCTCGGCCTCCCAGAGTACTAGGGTTACAGGCGTGAGCCCTGGAGCCCAGCCTTTAACTGTCTTGTTCTTGCATTGCATTGACCCATTAGCTCGGGGTGGGAAGGAAGATGGCATTCCCTCCTCAGCTGAGGCAGATGTTGCATCTCCCCTTGAAAGTGGGGTTTTCACTCTTTTTATTTAGCTGCAAGGTGTGAGCACTGGGAATGTGACGCTGGCTAGAAGCATGTGCATGCAGGATAGGAGAAGGTAGCAGAGCGTTGGGGAGGGTACTCTGGGGAGCTGTCGCT